GAGTCTACATTACTGACAATCCCTCTCCCCTTATATATATCAGTTGTCGAGTACACAAAAACACTAGCTGTTGCTGTGCTACTAGATGGCGCTGTATGAATTGTAATAATCAAAACTTTTCCGTTGGGGAAAGGAATTCTTAGTAAAGTATCTTATGACCCCATTCCTAACAATGAATGTCTGATTGACCTCCGGTTCCCCCTGGAAACCATCGTGATAAATTCTACAAGAATTCATCACGATGGTGGACTAACTGACCTGACCTCATGTTCATCTTATCATCCTCCACTGGTGCCCCGCCAGCGTAAACCGTTAGCGCAGGAATAAAATACAAAAAAATATATTCAAATAAACTTACATTGAAGCACTTTTGAATAGTCATTACATTTTTTAAACTACCGCTCGTTCGGAAAGCTGTCTCATCACAAGAAGAACGAGCAAGAAACTTGCGTGTTGCTCTTTTAAATAATTTTATTATTACTTTACATTTTTAAGTTTAAGTGTGTGAATACAAACCACCTATTAGCACTAATTCATTTAAATACTCAAATAGAAAAAATATTGAATATATAACCAACTGGTTAAACAATTAATAAGAGGAAATCAGTCATAGTGATTAGAGCAGACCAGTCCCTACAAGCAGCGCCCGGTCACGAGTACGACGGATGAGCGAGCCATCACTGCGCTCGACCATATTTTAGGGAGCCCAATGACCCGGCCCACCACGCCGCCACAAGTCTGGACATTTAGTGAGCATGACTACTCAAAACACTAGACCACGTCATACCTACTTACAATTGCACTCTGATAGTTATAGTATTCACATTTTACATAAGAATGCATGCGGTTGCACCATTCCATTATAATCCATAAAAAAAATGCCAACCTTGTCTATTAGCACTGAATTACGTATACGCTTATTTACATTAGGATATTGGTTTTATTTGCAATAAGATAAAACATATACATTTATATGTGTAGTGGTGATAATAGTTGTAGCATTGTGTAGTTTGATTTTTGAGTTATAGGAACTGTTCCGTGAATTATGAGTGGAAATAAGGAAAAAGTCGCGGACTGCTGTGTTAAACCGTTGGATATAGAGAATGGAAAATATAAAGGTACATATACTATATTAAATGTGGTATACATATATATATATATATATATATTGATACTGGCTGTCCTGGCAAACGTTCCATTACATAGTATAAAATAAAGTCACTATTGCTGTCTGTCCATCTCAATGTATGCTTAAATCTTTAAAACTACGCAACGCATTTTGAAACGGTTTTTTAATACATAGAGGGATTCTAGAGGAAGGTTTATCTATACATATAAATAAAATTGGAGTGTCTGTTTGTAATATTAAAACTAACTAACTACATTTTTACTACATGCATATGAATATAAATACGGTACATACACCAAAATAACATTTTTTACAATTTTTGTCTGTCTGTCTATCTATCTGTTTGTTCCGGCTAACCTCTGAAATGGCTGGACCGATTTCGACGCGACTTTTTTTGGCAGGTAGCTGATGTAATAAGGGGTAACTTAGGCTACTTTTATTTTTGATAAATAGATGGATATGGATATAGATAGTAATTCAAGAGGAAGGTTTCTATATTTAATACATACACCTGTGCGAAGCCGGGGCGAGTAGCTAGTTACTCATATAAATTATATGAGTCTCATGAGTATGAGTCTCAGTATCTCAGTTTTTCTCAGCAATTACAAATCCTTCAGGGTTGATAGTTAGGCATTTCATTTTTCACGTCTTTGACATCATATACACTGTTCTTGTTATATGATTGATTAACTTTTGTATCAGACAAAAAAATATCAAAGTTTGGTCTTATAAAATTAATTAATAAGATTTAATTAGTATAAGAAATGTGGACTGATTTAAGACTCGAATTTTCCAATACACATTATACTAAGTAAACACTTAAATAGAACCATTCAAATGTATATAATATAATATAAACCAATTGTTTTTATTTTAAACAAAATAAACTGTTTTTCCGCACAAAATCTCTCGCTATTAAAAATAGGGGTTGGGGGTGGAAGAGTGAAAATTTATAAATATTCTTTATTGCACTTAAATACATTTGTAAGTATATTAATTACAACTAATGACTTGACAAAGACATATCTCTAAAAGAGAACTCTTCCAGTCAACACAATAAAGCGTGGCATAGGAAATGTTGTGTGAGTCAAAAAGTGCAAATAATAATTTTTATAAAAATGTCATAAATAATTAAAACTAAACATAAAAATATAATGTCCAAAATACAGATACTAATACAATATACATAAAGATACAAAATATTGATACAAATTCAAATTCAAATTCAAAAATAATTTATTCATGTAGGACATTTTAGCCGCTTATGAACGTCAAGTTTTTACATTATAATTTTTTTTCCCTACCGTCCAGTTCGGTATATAGATCCAATTGAGAAGAACTGGCAAGAAACTCAATTGAATTACTTTTTTTTAAATCCAGTTTATTTACAATGCATAGGTATTTATATAGGTGTCTATGTCTAACATTAAATGAAAATCTCGAACATGAAAACTATTGCCATGCACGCTCGTCATTCAAGTAATCATTTAGTGAGTAATAGGCTTTGCTCAGTAAATATGATTTAAAAGATGTTTTGAATTTATTTAAGGGTAATTCCAATATATCCTTTGGTATCTTATTGTAAATTTTTATACCCATTCCCATAAAAGACCCATTGACTTTTTCTAAACAATACTTGGGGAAAATACATATATATATATATATATATTTGAATACCTAAACAAAATTACATTTATAATACATATATAATAAACAACATAAATATATACTAAATCAAACAATAAAAACTACAAAGGTATATATACAATGATGACACTAATCATATAGCAGCAGAAAGGTATTTAGGGTTATATGTTGTTTTAAACGCGATATTAAAAAAAAAAAAAAAAAAAAAAACATATTGTCCAAAAAATAATATTAAGGGTGGACAACCCTTATCACTTACTCAGACCTACTGAATATGGGTATACAATTTCATAAAAATCGATCATCTTGTGTTATTATTCTGCCTGTCTGTTTATTCTTGCTAATCTCTAATAGCTGATCCGATTTGGACGGGTCTTTCACTCACGAATAGCTTATGTTATGTATTTTAAAAAAATCATTTATTGTAGAAAAAAATCGTCGGAGTCCTGAACCACTTTTATATATAAACTATTTTGATTTATCTCACAAGAAACATATACTAATAATAATGTGATGTATGTATTTTGTAGAATTTAATATGATTATTAAGCATAGAACAAAGGGGCTTCTTTCTAAAGGTTATTTTCTTAAAGAAACATCTTCTTTGTTATACAATAAGTCTAAAATTAGAGAGACTTCACTGTACTGAACACTTTCGAAATAATTTTATTAATTAAATAAAAAATAATAATTTTCTAGTGCATATATATATATATATATATGTTCAGATAATAGAAAATCGTTTATTCAAATAAACTCAATTTAAGCACATTTGAATAGTCAAAAATTTTTATATTTCAAATCTACTGCTCATTCGTAAAGCTGTCCCATCACAAGAAGAATATGCAAGAAACTTGTGTGTTACTCTTTTAAATAAATGTTTAATTAGATTTACATTAACAACGCACGATAGCGCTATGAATTTTAAGTTAGATATTTTCTACAAAAACATTATTATCATTTATAAATTATTTTATAAGACATTTGAATTTTCTTTGTAGAGAACAATCAATCAATCCTTGTAAGTTTACATTTACAAGTCGAAACGTGTGAATACAAACTACCAACCAGCACTAATTTATTTAGGCTCAAATATAAAAACACAATAAGATTAAATCAGTCGTAGTAATAAGAGCAGACCAGTCCCTACAAGCAGCACTCGTTTACGAGTTTGACGGATGAGCCAGCCATCACTGCGCTCGACCATATTTTAGGGAGCCCAATGACCCGGTCCACCACGCCGCCACATGTCTGGACATTTTAGTTAGCATGACTACTCATTCCACTCGACCACGTCATAGCTACTTAAATACAAATATATATAACTCAAAGGTGACTGTCATAGTGATCTATCAACGCACAGCCCAAACCAGTGGACGGATCGGGCTGAAATTTGGCATGCAGGTAGATGTTATGACGTAGGCATCCCCGAAGAAAGGGCTTTGATTAATTCTATCCCCAAGGGGATAAAATAGGGGATGGAAATTTGTATGAAACTATGTCAATTTTAAACTGATCGGGCTGAGACTTTGCATGCATAATGTCACTATGACGTAGGCATCCCCTAAGAAAGGATTTTGATAAATTCCACCCTTAAGGGGTAAATTAACGCAAGCGAAGCCGCGGGCAAAAGCTAGTTAATTATATGGTACTCCCACAGTATTTATTATCTGAACTACTAATCACATGACTTGTTGAGTTTTGTTTATTTTTCATCATAGAAATAATAATAACAAACCCGGAACAACTGATAAGCGGAGCTGAGAGAAATACATAAATACTTTTTTTTCTAAATAAATTCATTCACTTTCATTCATTCATAATTTAAGAGCGACGCTCTTGCCGGTGAATCTCTTGCCACTTTCCAAGATCTTCTTTCTTACTCTTTAAACGTTGATACCTCACTCCAATTCTGTATTTAATTTGCTTGATACAGCTATACCTTGGTCTTCCTCTCCCCCTCTTTCCTTCTATCTTTCCCTCAATAATAATTATCATAAATTTATCGTATATACTTACTTACATGATAGATATAGAAAACATCCAGACAAACAATCATACTCATGAATATAACATTGTGATCTGAGGATAATCGAATCCGCAATTATCACAAGTAAAGAGGTGTGCTAAACCGCTAGATCACCGAGGTCGTGGGCGTAAATTTTTGTATAAGAGTTTAATAAAATAATAGATATTTATATAACTTTGTAATTTTTTTACGAATATGCAATTTCAAGAGAGTTAGTGATTTCACTAATAAAAGCTTACGTTACAATAATAAACTGATTTTACCTAAATGTCATTTAACTAAAGTTAGTAATTCGTTTTATGGCAATTGCGTAAGGTCCCCTCCGATCGATCCCCCGTCCAATTCAAACGGGGATCGAAATTACGACGGCCTAAGCCCAGGTTCGAACCCCTAATGGTGCCCTCAGACTAAAGACGTATCCGTCAGGCAGGAGTAGGCCTTCAGCCGCTCCATAAGTCCTTCCTTGGTTTGGAGAGCCATCTGCACTCGCCCCCTAACGTCCGGTGAAGCTGTAAAGGCCAGCTGCGGCCAACAGCATTAGAGTAGTCCGAAAAAAAAATACCATGGTTTTACAACAAAAAAGATTTGCAAAAAAGATTTCTATGTTGATTATCGCATGCCTCTCACTTGTTATACTGTAATTATTTATATAAAAACAAACATCTATTCAAAAGAGCAACACACAAGTTTCTTGCTCATTCTTCTTGTGATGAATCTGCATTCCGAATGAGTGGTAGAATCAAAATATGACTTTTCAAATGTGCTGAAGTTAAATATTAAGTTTATTTGAATAAAGATTATTTCTATTTCTGTTTTCTATTTCTATAATTCCAGGATGGGGCTACAGATACCAGCAGTGCCTAATCTTATTCCTATCACTCACGATAGCTTATAGCTTGCGAGCATGTATGGGTGTATCTTTAGTAGCCATGATACAACATGACATACAAGCCAATGCAAATCATACAAATGAAACAATAGCAAATAACACAGAGAACTCCAGAGAGCAATATGTAGATTTGTATGTTGATGAAGAGGATTATAATGCAAGAGGATTTTTGAACATATTAATGCTTACACCACCTGTAAGTACCTTGTCATAACTAATGTAACTTTATACTGACTTGAGTTTTCTAAATGTTTATGTCATTCACATATATCTAAGACTAGCTTTTGCCCGCGGCTTCGCTCGCGTTAATTTATCCCTTAGGGTTGGAATTTATCAAAATCATTTCTTAGGGGATGCCTACGTCATAGTAGCTTTATGCATGCAAAGTCTCAGCCCGATCGGTTTAAAATTGACAAAGTTTCATACAAACTTTCATCCCCTATTATACCCCCTTGGGGGTAGAATTAATCAAAATCCTTTCTTAGCGGATGCCTACGCCATAATATCTACCTGTATGCCAAATTTCAGCCCGATCCGTCCAGTGGTTTGGGCTGTGCGTTAATAGATCACTAGTTCTAGTTTCCAGCTAAGCAGAGGTTACATATAAGCACTAGAGAACTGAAATAAACACATATACATTTTTTTATAAATACATATAGAAAACACCCAGACCGATATAAACAATCTTACTCATGATTACAAATGCTTGCACTATGCGTGCATCGAACCCGCGACCATCGAAAGTAAAGCGGTGTTCTAAACCGGTAGACCACAAAGGCAGTCGACTTCTTTTAGTATATCTGAAAATGTATCAATATTGATCAATTTTCATTATTATATAAATAAATAAATAAATAAATAATCTCAGTACAATTCACACAGCGCCATCTAGACCCAAATTAAGCTACCTAAAGCTTGTGTTATGGGTACTTGACAACTGATACAAATACATAGATATGTTTTTTTTTTCGTAAATACATACATATTATACATAGAAAATACCCAGACCGATACAAACAATCATACTCATGAATACAAATGTTTGTGCCGTGCGAGAAATCGAACCCGCGACCATCGGACGTAAAGCGGTGTGCTTGACCGCTAGACCACCGAGGTCGTCAATAAGCAAAGGGAAACTTCACAACAAACCTATATATTCATATAGATACCTATGTTTTACTCATTTGTCCATCAAGTAGACGTTTGCAAACTGTGATCCTTTTGAAGGTGAGATATGGAAGTTAAATTACTAGGAACCGAGACAACATTGTAATCTCAATATGACGGGCCCTTGCTGTGTCAAAATGTATTTTATATATGTTGTATTGTTAATTAATTTATTTAACTTTAATGCACAATAACAATGTGTACAAATGGCGTACTTAACACCTTGCGGCGTTATCCACCAGGCAACCATGAGTGGTGCAGAGAAAGATTGTTGGCTGTGCACTAATATAAATGAGAAATGTAAAAAAAATGTATATAAATATGTGAAAAAATCTTATATATAAAATTCTCGTGTCACAGTTTTCGTTCCCATACTCCTCCGAAACGGCTTGACTGATTCTCATGAAATTTTGTGAGCGTATTGAGTAGGTCTGAGAATCGGCCAACATCTATTTTTCATCCCCCTAAATGTTAGGGGTAGTCCACCCCTAATTTTTTTTTTATTTTAAGGCATAACAACGTTTGTCGGGAAAGCTAGTGATATATAAAAATAACGACCTCGGTGGTATAGCACAGCACTTTACATCCGATGGTCGCGGGTTCGATTCCTCGTACGACACAAACATTTGTATTCATGAGCATAATTGTTTGTATCGGTCTGGGTGTTTTCTATGTATAATATGTATGTATTTACGACAAATGTCTATGTATTTGTATCAGTAATCTAGTACCCATAACATAAGCTTCAGCTAGCTTAACTTGGGTCTAGATGGCGCTGTGTGAATTGTCTTGAAATAGAATAAAAAAAAATAGCAAAATATTTTAAATATAAATTTTTAATATGTATGTATAATGTAAATCAAATATTGTAATGGGTGAAAACTGTGATTGGTACAGCCTATGCTGTAAATAATATAAATGACGCATTGGAGTAACTTGAAACAGTCATGCTCGCTATAAAGTTCAAACTTGTGGCGGCGTGGTGGGCCGGGTCAATGTGCTCCCTCTAATATGGTTGAGTGTAATGATGGCTGGCTCATCCGTCATACTTGTGAACAGATGCTTGTGGGGACTGGTCTGTTTGGGTTACGAACACTGATTAGACTATTTGTTTTTGCAATAGCATATGCTGGTGGTCACTCTACAATACATTAGAGGAAGTATGAAAGTGGCGCCGGTGTCAGAGAGGTTGAAGAATAATCGTCTATCGTGGTATGGACACGTAATGCGTAGGAATGAAGATCATATCCTAAGGAAGGTGTTACACATGAATGTGGATAGATATAAGGGCAGAGGAAGGTCGAAAAAGAGATAGATGGACTGTGTGAAAGATGATATGCTAAGAAAGGGAGTGACTCATCCGTGAAAGTATTAGGAGAAAAGATCTGCAAATTATTCCTAAATTCACAACATATTAATCATCCGTCATACTCGTGAACGAGTGCTGCTTGTAGGGACTGGTCTGCTCTTATCACTACGACTGATTTAATCTTATTGTGTTTTTATATTTGAGCCTAAATAAATTAGTGCTGGTTGGTAGTTTGTATTCACACGTTTCGACTTGTAAAATTCAAACTTACAAGGATTGATTTATTGTTTTTACAAAGAAAATATTTTATGACGCATTTGAAATTGAAGAGTTTATAAATGATAATAATGTTTTTGTAGAAAATATCTAACTTAAAATTCATAGCGCTAGCGTGCGTTGATAATGTAAATCTAATTAAAACAACATTTGTTTAAAAGAGCAACACACAAATTTCTTGCTTATTCTTCTTGTGATGAGACAGCTTTCCGAATAAGCGATAGATTTATAAAATGTTTACTATTCAAAAGTGCTTAAATTAAATTTATATGTATAAATGATTTTCTATTCTATTCAATCTGTAAAATTGTTTAATAATTTACCAATACATTTAAAAACTTTATAATTTCACATTATTTAAAATCATATTGAGGAGATTTTTATTGAATAAGTATTACTATTACGTTTATTATTCATTATTATTATTACTATTATTGTAGCCTTTATTCAGATCCAACTTATACATTATTTCAAAACAAACAAAACTTTAAAACTTAGAAACGAAATAATTATTTTATTATTTGGATCTTTTTTAATTTCTGTAGATCTGTTTGCCAATCGGCACCCGCCTCCTCCAATAGTTAGTTGTAGTAGTAATTTCCATTCTTCTCTTTCTTCTGCCACTCTGTTCCACATTACTCCTGCCACTATCCTAATATCATCAGCCCATCTTGTGTATCAAAATAAAATACACATATATATACATAAATAAAATATATAATTAGACTATCTTTTGCCCACGGCTTTGCGTTATTATTATTAGGTATAGTTTTTGCGGCTTTACAGTACTTCCATACAAACTTTCATCCCCTATTTTATCCCCTTGGGGGTAGAATTAATCAAAATCCTTTCTTAGCGGATGCCTACGTCATAACATCTACCTGCATGCCAAATTTCAGCCCGATCCGTCCAGTGGTTTGAGCTGTGCGTTGATAGATCACTATGTCAGTCACCTTTGAGTTATATATATGTAGATTAATTATGCTCTTGGGGATAGAATTAATCAAAATCCTTTCTTAGCGGATGCCTACGTCATAACATCTACCTGCATGCCAAAATTCAGCCCGATCCGTCCAGTGGTTTGGTCTATGCGTTGATAGATCACAATGTCAGTCACCTTTGAGTTATATATATATAGATACATACATGTCTAACAAAACAGAACATTACAGAAAGAAAAGATTTTTAATTGGAGAGAAAGTGAGAGTTTACAATTTTTTTTTTAAATGGAATAAATTAGATAAAGAAGAAGCAGATGATGATGATGATGACGAAATACAATAATTTTTTTCTTTTCTTGCAGTACCCAAAGTTGAAGTGGACTAAAACAATACAAGATACAGTACTGACGTCTTTCTTTTGGGGTTATATGATACTGCAAATTCCTGCTGGACAGATTGCTCACCGCTTCGGTTCCACCTACTTGCTGTTCAGTGCACTCGCTATCAATTGCCTTGTGTCGTTGTTTTTTCCACTGGCAGCGTTTTATGTAAAGTATTTCTATAAAATAAATTAAATATCTTTGAACATGTAATACAGCGCCATCTAGTTGAATTAGAGATGAGTCAACTCGAGTTACTAACTCGAGTTAACTCGAGTTGAATTCTGGCAACTCGACTTGGAAGAAATCAAGTGGTAAATGAATGAATCAAGTGAAAGAGCGAGAGCATGATTCCATCATTGAACCGACAATGACATGAAATTTTCTGATCATTTCATATCATACAATTTTCACTCGTTACAAATATTTCAATTAGAGATATAGTTTTATAGTTCAATAGTTTTTGCTACCTTTGTTAGCTTCAACTAAAAAGAAATTCGATGGCGGGGCGCGGCGCCCCCTTGCTTTGGCGCCTGTGTGCACCACACACTTCGCACACAGGACGGTACGGCCCTGCCTACAGCTATACTTGCATATATTCAAATTCAAATTCAAATTCAAAATATCTTTATTCATGTAGGTCTATTACAGACTCTTATGATATGTCAAATCTACCGTCAGTTCGGAATGATTTCGAGATGAGAACAACTGACAAGAAACTCAGCTCGTATTCTTTTCAAATAATTGTTGTACATATTTACATTAATAGATTCATTTAAACTCAAATTTGGGAGAATAGAGTGACCACCAGCATATGCTATATAAAAAAAATTAAAAAATCTAATCAGTGTTCGCAACCTGAACAGACCAGTCCCCACACCCGTTCACGAGTATGACGGATGAGCCAGCCATCATTGCACTCTACATATATAGGGTACTAAGGTAGACTTCGAATTGGCAAACGTAGTGTAGAACGCCCCACATCTAGATGGAGCGATGATATACGTAGGGTTGCGGGTAGTAATTATAAGAGAAGGGCTGACGATCGTACCCAGTGGTGTGCCTTGGGAGAGGCCTATGTCCAGCAGTGGATTGCAGTGGGCTGATCATGACGGTAGACTTCACATAACATAATTTTCATACATCATGCAAGATTAATTACAACTTCTGATGCAAGAAAGAAGGTAACAAAGTAAATAGCTCTAAACGTAGCACATTAGTGATTAATATTTTGTTACCTTCTTTCTTGCATACTGTTGAATTCTGTGTTATATATTTTATATAAAAATTACAGGGAAGTTGGAAGTTATCAATAGCTTGTCGTATAATCCAAGGCTTAAGTCAAGCCTTCATTGTTCCTTCAGTGCACACAACTTTAGGGAAATGGGCACCTTTAGCCGAGCGAGGCAGGATGACAGCAACAGTCTACGGTGGTAGGTTCTCATTATACTTGTAGCAGCGAGTTTTTATATTATTAATTTAATTTAATTTTATATTATACTGTGTGAGCTGTATCATTGTGTGGGTGACAGTTACTTATTTTATATTTAACAATTGCTACAGTTATTACGAATATGGTACAGCTAAAATACTAAGCCATCATCATCATCGGAAGACGTCCACTGCTGGACATAGGCCTCCCCCAAAGATCTCCACGACGATCGGCCCTGTGCTGCTCGCATCCAATGCCTTCCAGCGATCTTGACCAGATCGTCAGTCCATCTTGCTGGAGGCCTTCCCACGCTGCGTCTTCCGGTCCGTGATCGCCACTCGAGGACTTCATTGCCCCAGCGGCCTTCTGTCCTGAATACTAAAAATATTAAGTCATAATTTGTAAATCGCGGTAACTTTAAATGGTGAAACGAAACGTTAATGAAACTGTCAGCCGCATGATGCTACAGCGTCTATGGTATAGTCAGTATGTTTTGGCCTCGATGGTCTATCGGTTTAGATCACCGCCTTACTTCCGCTGGTCGCGGGTTCGATTCCTCGCGCGCACAAACATTTGTTTTTTTTTATACTATGATGGTGGCAATCAAGCATACAGCCTACCAGATAAACGGTTACCGTAGCCTATGAACGCCTGTAACACCAGGGGTATCACGTGCGCGTTGCCGACCCTTAAGAAACCTTAATATACCCTTCAATTTGTATTCATGAGTATGATTGTTTGTATCGGTTGTATCTATGTATTTGTATCAGTTATCTAGTACCCATAACACAAACTTTAGCTAGTTTAACTTGGGTCTAGATGGCGTTATGTGAATTGTCTTGAGATTATTATTATTATTTTATATACGATATTGAAACCTTCAAGAAAAGAGCTTATTCCTTTTTAAAAGGCCGACAACGTACTTGCAATGCCCCTGGTGTAGCGGGTGCTCATGAGCGGCGGTAATCACTTACCATCAGGTGAGCCGCATGCTCATTTGTCCCCTGTTTTATAAAAAAAAAATAATTATGTATTGTATAAAAATTCGACGACCTCGGTGGTCTAGTGGTTTAGCACACCGCTTTACGTCCGATGGTCGCGGGTTCGATTCCTCGCACGGCATAAACATTTGTATTCATGAGTATAATTGTTTGTGTCGGTCTGGGTGTTTTCTATGTATAATATGTATGTATTTACGAAAAAAAAATATCTATGTATTTGTATCAGTTGTCTAGTACCCATAACACAAGCTTTAGTTAGCTTAACTTGGGTCTAGATGGCACTGTGTGAATTGTCCTGAGATTATTATTATTGTTATTCTTTATTTTTTCTCAGCTATTGCTGGTTTTCTCCACACATATTATTATTATTATTTCCAAAAATTCTCATCTCCCCTCTTAAGGAGAGGAGATGGCAACATACCCCCGGCAGAAGCACAGTCGGCCGGGGTTATTATTATTATTATTATTATTATTATTCTTATTATTATTATTATTATAAAAATTTTCAGCGCAAGCACTAGGAACCGTCCTTGGACTGCCTATTACCGGTTTCATTGCATCATCAAGTATGGGATGGCCTGGTATATTCCGTTTCTACGGATTACTCTCGGGTATTATAGCTGGTGTGGTATTGTGGTTTGGCGCTGACAGTCCAGCCAAGCATCCTAATATATCAGAGGCTGAAAGGTTTTATATAGAAGCCGATTTGGGACAAAAGGGACACAACTCAAATGTAATTACCAAACTCAGTTTAAATTCCTTTCTATTAGCACAATGGTGTAGCTATTTAATGTCTATTTCAATTCGGTGCACTGATTTAGAATAGAATAGAATAGAATAGAATAGAATAGAAAATCATTTATTCAAATAAACTTACATTGAAGCACTTTTGAATAGTCATAACATTTTTTTTTTTTTTAATCTACCGCTCATTCGGAATGCTGTCTCATCACATTAGGTTATGCTATTTGATATTAAATTAAATAAAATTTATACTATGTTGCTCTGGCTTTTATTGGTTGCACTTTGATTGCGTTATAATTATTAAAATAGCTCGAAAAATAAATAAAAATAAATAAATATGTAGTTTAATTAGATATTAAGTCGTTTTTTAACTAGGCTGCAATTTAATTATTACCTCACTGCAGATAAACTGTATGTATGCCATTCAAATTCCATTATCATTTATACATATAAATAAAATTGGAGTGTCTGTTTGTAATACTGAAATAACCATTTTTTACTACATGCATATGAATATAAATACGGTACATATACCAAAATATCTTTTTTACCATTTTTTTTCTGTCTGTCGGTCTGTCTGTTCCGGCTAATCTTTGAAATGGCTGGACCGATTTTAACGAGCGTTTTTTTGGCAGGTAGCTGATGTAATAAAGAGTCAGACACCAAAATAACATTTTTTCCAAT